TCACAAGTTGTTGGTGTCATGTGCAGAGTGTTTGCACTCACGCTCATTTCTAGGTGCAGCTACCATTGCTGCTCTCAGAGGAGGTGGCATGCGAGGTGGGGGAGGAAGGTGCTGAGCAGTGACCGTTCCACACAGGACAGCTGTCCTCTCTGCCTGCCTCACAGGTGTATCGAGGCACACTTGCTTGTGCTCTTAACTGCACCTTCTATAATTCCTTGTCTTAGTGGTGATAGCAGCCACACTAATTGTTATATACAGAAACCAGAGTAATTTAGCAGAATCTCTGTAGGCTGTTTTAGGTAACTCTACTGCCCTTCCGGAAAAGTGCACGGCTCTTTTCTGCAGAAGGGCAGAGCTGTTTCTCCGTATTACAGTTGAGAACTGAAGGATGGAGAAGTCAACAACCCAGCACGCTGCAGCAAAGCAAGATTTGCACTCACCTTCCTGAGTCCTGTGCTACCGCTCCTCATTGCTGCCTGGCCTCCCTCCCTCTCCCATTCACCTTTTCCCTGTAGATGCACTCCAGGCAGCGGTCCTCATCCTTCAGCATGTTGTCGAGGTGCTCGTTGCCAGCCTTCAGCTCCATCTCAAGAGGCACCGTGGTCACGGCCAAGGAGAGTTGGAGGTGATTCTGGAGGGACTCCTGGAGCGCTCCTTCCCGGTAACTCTGCAGGAACCGGCGGCAGTTCTCTTGCTTGCAGAACTTGAGCTGGACTATCAGGTGCGGGTGGCTGCAGTGCACTTTGAGCATGTCCACACCATTCACGCTGCCGGTGGAGTCTGGCAGGGAGAAGTGAGCAGAGTCACTATCCAGGCATGAGACAGACAACCCAGACCCACTCCCATCCACCACCAAGCCTGCAATGGAGTAGCTTTTGAATTCTCTTCTCTCTGTGATAAAGTCCTCTGGGACGAAAAACCTGTATGTAAAACCAAGAGGAAACGATTAAGTTTTTGCTGCCCTGCCACCATCAATCCCCAGGAGGTATGGTGTCCAACTGAAGCCGTATGGTACTACACCCCAGGTAATTATCTCAACACTGTTTATTAGGGGAGGTTTTAAGTTTGAGGTTCCATTTCCAGGACAGAAATGGTTATGCTAAACTGGTAGCACAGGAAAGTTTTATAGATGAAAGCGCATAGTTCAGCTCAGTGCTCAGTCTTCAGTCCTTGTGACTGGAGTTTTATACAGTGATGAAGGTCCTGGAAAGAGACCCAGCGTTTCCTCTCCACCCCGTGCCTAGAGGTAACTTTTGGCTGTCTCTGAGCCTTCAACACATCTAACAAATGGCGAACGATAGATCCAGCCACAGGAATTGGGCTGCTTGAGATTGGGCATTGACTTGTTAAGCCCTTTTGCACAGAGAATTAATTCACAGCAAAATCTAAGCAAGGAGAAGCTAGGGATGTACCCTCTAACGTTAGTGAGGGGGGAGCACGAGCAACATGGACAACAGAAATTGTCCAGGCCTTCATTATTCCTCCTCCCAGCAAAATTTAATTTTGATTAGCTGTGCACATTGACCCTGTCTCCACGGGGATTTTATATGCTGATGATGACAGTTCAGAGTATGTGTTTTTTCTCTCTTTTTTTTTTTTTGCAACAGAGGCCTGTGGGAGGCTGGCTGTACTGCTTCCAGACCCGAATTAACCTCTTGGCCCCGTTGCACGGGGCCGTACAGAAGTACCAGCTCACACTGGCACTACACCAGGTATTTCTAAACCACGCATCATGGCATTATTTAGACATGCTCGGAGGACAATCCCAAGGCAAAGCAGACTTGTGTGCTCCCCATTAGGCAGGACAAGTGACCTGGCATTTGAAAGTATGTGATCTGACAGTGGCTTTACAGGGTTTACTGAGTCCTGGTTGCATCAGAAATCTAGCCTGGACCAGATGTGTAACTGGGACGTGGGGCTAGGCACCTAGGAGAGGCATTTTAATTCACTGTGGCTGACCAGAAATGTCTTTTTATTGCTTCCTTCATGCTTTGTTTTTCGTAAGTGCTGGTTAAACAAAAGCTTCCATAACAGGGTAAGAGGGCTAGGGAGGGAAAAGCTGCACAGACATGGAAACCTTTACAAACGGTGTACAAGACAGCTGTAAAGCTACCTCAAAAGAGGGGACTTTGCACGCATTTCTTCATGAAACTTCAGACAGCTTCAGATTTCCTGTCCTTTTTAGGTCTGAATAAGCATGGTAGGATTTAGCGTTTTTGTGGGCTTTCCTTTAAATGTGCGAGCAGACTCACATTCCAGTGACACAAAGCAGCCGTAAATCGAGCCGAGCTGGACAAATGTGTTGGGCTTCCTGCTGCTTCACATCTTTGGATCGAGCTGCAAGATGAGCAGGCCTGTATTGGATAAACTAGCTGACTTGGCTAGACTCATGATTGCCAGAAGAGATTACAGAATAGTTACACAAGCCCAATTCAACAATATAGGCTCAACTGTATGACAGGTAAAGAACACGATGAGAGTCATTCTAGGTAAGTATGATAAACTCTTCAAATTACTATTATTCTGCAGTCAGCTTGGTGCAAAGGTGGATAGAGAAACATAGTTTTATGGCCATTTGCATTTCAAGTCCTTTTTTGATGTAAATAGGGTTACATACAGTTGAAGATAACGTAATTGTGCCTGTTGATAGCAGAAAAGAACTTACACCGGCTATCACTAATTTTAAAAATCAGCTTCTCAAAGCAGAAAACATGTTTCTGTGGTGGTATAAAGACAGAAATTAAATCTTCTTTCATAGCAATTGCGATCTTTTCCCCTCTTACATGAATGGGTTTAAACAAACATTCATAAAGTAGGATAACTCATAGGATAGTTCAAGTTGGAAGGAAGCCCAGGAAGTCTCTAGCCCAACCTCCCGTGCAAAGCAGGGTCAGCTCTGAGGTCAGACCAAGTTGCTCAGGGCTTTATCCAGTCCTGTTTTGAAAACTCCCAAGGATGGAGAATACACAGTTGCTCTGGGCAACTGCTTGACTGTCCTCATGGGGAAAATGTTTGTCCTTATATCTGGTGTCTACCTCTCTTGTTTCAATTTGTGCCTGTTGCCTCTCATTCCCCATGCACCACTGTGAGGAGTGTGGCTCCATCTCCCCCTCCCCATAGGTACTGGCAGGCTGTTGGTAGGTCCCCCAAAGCCTTCCTCTTCCCCAGGCTGAACAGGTCCAACTCCTTCAGCCTCTCCTCACAGGACAAGTGCTCCAGCCCCCAACCATCTTGGTGGACCTCTGCTGAACTTGCCTCACTTTATTGTCCTTCCTAAATACAGTGAGCACCCGCTTTCCTTACCCATGAGTGTGAGATTCAAGGAAGGCATGGCACTGCGTGAAGAGATGAGACAGCGTGCCAAGGTATCAAGAGAGGGTGGGTACCTGCTAATGCCAGCTTCAGCGCCTTGAACACACTAGGTTTCTTCTGGGAGCTTTCGTAGAGAGACGGCAGAACGATGGTCTTGCACGTCGACTGGAGGAAGAGATAAGCGCTGCCGATCCAAGGAGCGGAGCTGCCTGCCATCTTCAGCACCCTACAAAATCACACAGATGAGTTGAGAGACCATAGGGAAAATGGCCTGATGCCGGGTGAGTGCTTACAGCAAACACTAAGCACAAGCATGTCAGGATTATGGGGATTTACCCTTATTTCCTAGAGGAGGCGGTGATGTTGTTAAAGCAAGTGTAACCTTTGAGGAGTTTACTGTTGTTCCGTAAAGCACAGCAGAATGGGACACGGTGTCCCAAAGACTCAGCAGCTCACAAAGCTCTGCTTTCATTTTCCACTGGAGTCCATTCATTTTATGGTCCAAAGAGACTCTGAAGCAAAGAGTTTCAGTCCTCGTGCCTCCGACTGCCCAGCCAAGCTAGCAAAGTCTAAAGAGACATAGTTGGGGTGCTCCAGGGAGCACCCAGCAGTCCTGGTTCTGGCACGTTCACACAGACTGAAGCCCTATTGCAGGCAGAGGCATTCTACCCGAGGTCCCGGTCCCCTTGTTGTCCTCACTAAAGGATGTGTTACAGAGCCCAGGGCTCACGTAGCAGCACAGTCAGGGCTATCCCACCGCTTTATGTACTAGCTCATTTATTAGTCCTCTCCTACCATTTGCCTCTTGCAGCAATGCACGTGGAAGACAGCACATCCACCTCTCCGTTCTCATCACGCCTGTTCCTCGCCGGCCAGCTAATGCAACGCTTACATCTACTGCAGGTGCACCCAACTCTGCTCCCAAGGCAAAGACGAACCAAAACACCTCCCAGGCTACGGATACTCACAACGGAAAAGCCGTGCTAGATCAGGCAATGCCGGACTGAGGCTGTGGCGGCTGGAAAGAGCGCCTGACAGCCCAGGAGAGAGGCATGGCCACCTCTCCTTTCTGGTGTGTACGCAAACTGCCTGTGCGTGTCCACAAGCTGGTCAGTGCAAGCCCCCCAAAACCGCTCCCACAGAGAGCAGCGCTTGGAGCCAGCCCTTCCATCACATCATAGCGACAAGTAATTTGGGGCTTTTGGCTCAGCCCCAGTCCCAAGTCCTGCCCCCTCTCTGACTACTTGTTTGCACTTCTTGTCACACCATCGGCTGCTTCCCCGCGGGCATCCCTTCCTTCCTGCTTTCTGCCCTGTTGCTCAACCCCAACAGCCCTCCCTCGGCTGCCAAGCACTGGCCTGACAGTATAACTGCTGGCCACGACAGTGTCCCTCTCTTCAGATGTCCTTTAGATTGTGGGTGTGAAGGTCTTTTGTCACCAGGGGCTGCCAGACCAAGAAGGATGACCTCCCATGGACAGGCTGTCCTCCGGGTGGTAGCTGGGGCTGGGAACCATTTCCATCCCTTGCAGCATCTCCAACAGGGCACTGGAACGTATGGCCCACCCTGTTTCCTTACTATAACCTTGAACTGTGCCCAGCACGGGAGCCTTTTACTTGTTCAGAAAATACAGGAAATAACCAGCGAATCATAAAATTCACACTGAACTTGGAGTTCAAGGAGTGCCTGCGGGATGCAGGAGTGAGTGTTTCCAGGCCACGGGCTCCCACATCACACAGACCTTTTAGAAAAGCATCTCGTAAAGAAGAAAGAGGAGGATGCACTGCTGCTGCAGTCCAGGTCTGGTCTGAGCCTCCAAACACTGGGAAGTTTGGGATCTGGGCACCCATCTCCTAGCGTCTTGCAGGAGGGTACCAGAAATCTGAGCAACATCTTAGAACTAACTACAGACGTGGAATATTTAAAAGATGTAACCCATGGAACAACTTATCTTTTGCAGTGCAAATGCCTGAGAGGTCCCTACCAGCCCAGAGGCACATGAAGTACAAGGACCCTGTTTCATCCCGCTCCCATCGCCGCAGCGGATGGACCCCGCTGCCCCCGCACCCCTTCCTGACACAGACCAGGCTCTGGCTCCTCAGCAACTGCCTGGTTCGACTCAGCAACGCTGGGGAGCCTGGAAATTACACCAGGCTTGCCAAAGCTCAGGTAAGGAGCCCTTTGCTGTTGTGCCTCTGCAGTGTTATCCCAGCGGGCCAGTTTTCCAGCCCAATGAGCGCTGCCCCATCCCAAGTCCCCACTCGGCAGTGGGGACCCCTCGCTGTGGGTTTGAGCAGCAGCGGTCAAACCGTTGTGGCGTGCTTTAGAAAGACCAACCCCGGGCAATAAGTAACGTATGTGATCATCGCTATTGCCTTTTTCGCCGACCTTTGGCACGTGTCAGGCTGCTGCTGCTGCTTCTTAATTCCTGTAAAAGACTAACTGGGAGGGGGCCGTCTTTATTTTAAGGAAGAAGAGCTAGGGCAGCGAGCCCGGGGCAGCCGCCAGCCCTGGGCACCGCCGGGCTGCGCCTGCCCGCGGGGGCGCGCCGCCTTCCCCCGCGCCT